CAAATAAAAAAGTTATGAAATTCATCGAAAATTTGTGTGGATCGATTATTTTGCCTGTGAGTGTATATTGGGAGGGTGGTGAAGTTGTGCCCGTAAATTACAAGTATAGAGCAGAAAAGAATGTCGCTCAATTTTCATATTTTAGTTTAATAATAATAAAAAATTTAGATTCCCATTTCATCAAATTTTTCGCTTTGTAAACGCTTGGATAACGAAAGGTTTCAGATTGGCTACTGTTCAAGTATTATTAGATTTTCAAAAGCTTTTCATACAATCCACGAAGACTTACTTCATCCTAAACTTCATTATTTTTGCTTTGAACCGCGTTCAAAAAATCTGTTTAAGTGAAACCCTCGAATGTTATTTCTGGAGTGCCACAGGGATTGATTCTTGGCCCGTTGTTATTTCTGGTTTCTATCGCGCAACTTACGAATATTTTTGTACGAAACCTTTAAGTGGCTATGCGGAAATATTTATAAACAAAGCCTATTCTGTTGGCATTGTATTTTCTTAGAGTAGGTATTTTAGTATTTTAGTATATTACAAAAGATCCAGGTTTTTTGAACTTGTATTTTTTCAAAAGCACGTTTGTAGAAAAACATAATAAATATTCGTGCCACAACTCCTGAATCAAATATTTGAGTGATTTCATTTTAAAATATATTCAATTTATCTTAATTTTTCAATTTTACTATAAACTATAAAACATTAAATAATGTATTTTTCATATGTTATCATAGATTCAAATAATAGCAATTTTTAAAAAATTCATAATCTTTGTACTCACTTTTACCCGTCAGTTCTGTGTCCAATGTTAAAATTCAAAATTCCTGCGAAATATTGAAGTTTAAACGTCAAGTCCTCGTTTTATCTCAAGTGTTGGTAAAAAATTACCTACAGAGCCCGCCCTTTGCACGACAGTCATCTTGAAAACAATGCAAGCGGCGAAGTTGTGGTGAATGCACGTATAGTTCCAGTCAAAATATCAGTACTGTGGTGAGTAGTTATTTTCTTACGTATACATATTTCATTGTAATTTATATAAGGCTATATATTAATACTTAATTCCGAATTATAATATCAAATTTGTATCCCATTCATCAGTAACTTGTCAGTTCCATGTTCGATGTTTCGGTTATCTTTTTTTCGCAAACTTCAATTTAAATTCTGCTTGCGCAGAACTCGTTTATTTAATGTCATTATAAACTCATATAAATTTGGTGTGGGTCCCATATTTAAAAATTGAGATATCGGTATACCCAAAATCCACCAGCCGCCACTGATGTGTGGTATTATTTGATTTTAAGATATTTAATGTATAATATGCTCAAAGTTGCAATAAATCTATTTTCCAATAAATTATGTATTTAATTAGTACCCAGGTATACCTACTCGTCACTTCCCTTGCATTCAAATTTAGAAAAACAGATATTTTAAAAACTGTTTGAAAAAGTGACTGGCCCGGTCTGGAACAGTATATTTATTATATTATCTATGTTCTCATAACAAAATACTGTTTAATTTTCTCCGAAAACTATACAGGGTGTTATGTAATTAATGTTATATATTAAAATGGGTTGTTCCTTAGGGTCCATAAAGAAGCACCTGAAACTTTTTTTTTCTAAATTCCAAAGTCTAAAAATAATTTATAATAACCTTTATCCTACCAAAAAGTACGCAACTGATCGACTAGGAACTTTAGGCTAATCTGGTTGCTTAATTTAATTTATTATGTTATGGTTGGTAATATAGTACCTTTAATATGGTGTTTCCAAAATCTGTCAAAAAAGTTGACAAACATTGTTTAAATTTAGCTTAATTTCAAAAATGACAAAATTAACAATGCAAATTGTCAATTTGGCGTTTTTATTAATTGTTGGTTGTCATTTTTGTACTTAAGGTAAATTCAAACAAAATCTGCCAACTTTTATGACAGAATCTAGTGCATTTCTTTCAAATTTTAGGTTATGTGCTCATATTGTAAATATCTTAACTAAGGGAAGTGTTTTTGGATTTATTTACACAAATTAAATGTTTAAAGTTTAACCTGTGAATTGGTCCCAATTTAATCTAAGTAAACAGAAAGAAAAAAACTGATGAAAAAATTAATTTGTGGTTATGGATTTTTTAAAATAGGTACTAAATTTTCTAATCATTATAAGAGCTTTAAGGGCATAACACATTTTTATTTATTTAGTTTTTATTTATTTTTTGCAAAACATTTTTTTAGATTTTTTACATCTGGCAACGCGCAGCTACTTTGTTGGTTGGTATCTATGTACTTAAAGAATACAAGTGTGCAGAGATAAACCAAATGTGTAACCAGTGGCATATCACAAAAAATATAAAAAACTTCTAATGCATATTTTGTCTTTATCTTTTTATTTTTTTAAAATATTTTTCCTTTACTTCTTATGTCAAAAGGTATTCAGTATTTTAATATATAACATTAATTACATAACACACAGGGATAAAAAAAAATGAGGTCAAAAGTTGCCCAACTTTTGTAGAATCACCATTATATATATTTTTATCAATTCATATAAATATATTTTTATGTTCCAGATAAATATTTTAAAAATTTTAAAAACGAATTTTTTTTTAGTCTATTTTCGCTTGGTGTCAATAAAAATTAAAATATTAATTTTTTTGTTCCACACCACATTTTCTTATATAAACATTTCTTCCTAATAACTGTTTAATTTACTGTTTTAAATGTTGCTGATAATTTGGACCATACTGTAGGTATATAAATAAAAAACAAAAAAAACCTAACTCCTAACATATGGAGATAATGGAGCTCTTTTGAAATGTCACTGGTAAGGAATTCCTGTTAACCGAGCGTGGACTATAAAAGCAAATTCATTGCACAAAAGCTGGCATTTGTGTATAAAACGTAAAAGAAAATTAGCTTTTTCGAATGCGTTTTTTTCTATAATTTCATTAGTTCTAATGTGTCCGCTTCTCACTTGGTGGCGCATTAATGGATATCGAGACCGGAAACTGTGAAAAACTGCCGCGCTTCCTTGGAATAAAAGCACGACGGCGAAAAAAGAAGAACCGTTTTAGCTTTCTTGCTCCAATAATTTACAGGCCAAATACAAATTTAATTTAAGTAAAGTATAATAATGTTGCTAATTACACTGTGCAACATTTTCGGAAAAAATTAAGATGATTGGGTTCTGAAAGTATTTTCGGTTTCTAAAATCAAAATCATGAGTTATAGCGTTTAAGTTTTAGTAATTCTGGATCCCGAAATATCGTAAAATAATAAATAATTAGTACATAAAAGATAATTATTGGTTTTGTATATTGTTTCATAAAGTAATAACAATCAAATAAAGAAAAAAATAATTAAATAAAAAAATAATGAGAACAATAAAATGCAATTTTTTTAAAAAATTGAACCTTTTTCTGGATTTAATATGTTGTATGGCAATTTCTTAGTTCTTTCGCTTCTACCATACTAATAATTATGTTAGTGTTATTGATACTTTAAAATAGTAAATTAACTTCAAAATATGATTATGTTAAGAAATTATTTTATCCTTTGATTTTTTTATTACTGTAATAGCAAAATATATATTTATATTATTATTACAAAGTAATAAAAATTCTTACACGGAACTGTTAAAGGTACAAAAATTGACAGTTGTATTTATTGGAATTCACGTTAGAATTTCTAACTTCCAAGCACCATCTAAGAACATTCCCAGTGAATATTTATTGGGAATATTTCATAGAATAATCCTCTACAACTTCCAAGCACCATCTTGAAACATTCCCAGTGAATGTTCTTTAAGTATATTCAAAAAACAATAAATAATTTTCTCTTTCTACAAATTGGATATATTTCAGGAATATGCGCTATCATTTTGGAATAATCCGTTTCATTCTAGGAATATTCATTGGGAATATTCCTAGAATGATCCTCTTAAAGTTCCAAGCACCATCTAAGAACATTCCCAGTGAATATTCATTGGGAATATTTCATAGAATAATCCTCTACAACTTCCAAGCAACATCTTGTAACATTCCCAGTGAATGTTCTTTATATTCAAAAAACAATAAATAATTTTTTCTTTTTACAAATTGGTTATATTCCAGGAAAATGCGCTTCATTCTAGGAATATTGATTGAAAATATTCTATAGAATGATCCTCTAAAACTTCCAAACTCCATCTAAGAACATTCCCAGTGAATATTCATACGTTTAGTTGCAATACCTCTCACCGTTGCTTACGCACACTTATAACTATATTTACCGATAGGTTAAAAATATCAGTTTGAGATGTGAGTCTGTGATGGCACAGCTAAACAATGATTAGAGTGGGACTGATCTACTCAGTAACTAATAATGGCTAGTTAAGTTAAGTTCCTGGGTATAAATGGCCATAAGGGCTAGGAGTAATCACCAAATTATATTAAGGTACATTCTCCTAACAATACTTAAGTCTTATGAATGGTGCTGCATGGAATATTATGTTTATGATGACTGGGTTAACCAAAAAGCGTACATTTGATTACGCCAGGAATATTCCTGGGAATATTCTGGGACGCTTGGAATAATCCTGGGAATATTCATGACATATGCAAGGAATGGGATTTTGAGGTCTGGGTATAGAAGCAGTTTTTCACAGTAAAAGAGAAAAGAATGTTTTATGGGCACTGTACGCAAAAATTGTGATGCTTTATCAGTTAAATCTAGTTGCATTACTACGGCGAAATCCAAAGGTCATTACAAACGTTTATATAATTTTTTTAAATATTGCGCATGGCCATGGCGCCATGGTGTCAGAAACTATTTAATACTTTTATATTGAAATAATAAAATAATTTTCACATTTAGTGTTATTTTACAAGAAAGGCACTTTATTTTAACGATTGTATGACATTTGACAACTGTTAACTAACTTAAAACTAACTTCAGCCCGTGACTAAAGCGCCATAAAGCCACAATTTAAAAAGTCACTTAGTGTAATGAAAACATGTACGATAATGGGCGTTTTAAAGGTGGGAGTAGAAAAAGTACATTATAGACCAGGCGGAGAAAGCTCATATTATAGCCGAGGATACATAATCACTAATTTGAAAAAAACAAAGTTACTAAGCTGCAAGTTGCAGCCTGCACTAAAATTTAAGATTAGTGTCTCTTTTAGTTTTCTATAAACCTCTAATAAATCAGTTAGTTGAATCACCTTAATATACATATAACTGACAAATGTCGAATTAACTTTTGTCAAAAGTCAAAATAAAAAGTGTTTCAAAATTTTAATGTAATTAAAAATTCATGTTTAGTTTAAAATTATGGTACGTAGCATTTTCCCTATATCTTTTTAAAAACAACTACGAGGTGTGTTCAGAAAATATCCGGAATTTTCGTTTTTTGAAACAATATTTATATATTCGTCTACATTAATGTTGTCGCCTTCAAAATAGTCCCCATTGGATATTATGCACATGTGCCAGCTCTTCTTCCAATACTCGAAACACTTCTAAAACTCAATCTTTGAGATAGCCTTTAGTTCTTTCAGCGATGCGCTTTTAATGTCATCTATGCTTGCAAAACGACAGCCCTTTAAGGTTCTCTTTATTTTTGGGAATAGGGAAAAGTCAGACAGAGGCATGTCTGGCGAATGTGGAGGCTGGGGCATCATTACAGTATTGTTTTTGGCCAAAAATTTTCTTCAAAATTTAACAATTTTAGAACAAATTTTGCTGCCACGCGTTTCATACCCAAAACATTTGAAAAAATTTCATGGGATGAGCCAATCGATATACCAACATCATCAGCGACTTCTCTGATGGTTTATAACCATTTCTTCCACTTTTTCCATGTTTTTATCGGTTGTTAATGTGCTTGTGCGTTCGGGGCTCTCGTCATCTTCAACGTCTTCACGGCCATCTTGTAAACTCTTGTTTTACTTATAGCAGACTCACTATAGGCCTTTGTTAACATTTCACAGAATTTATTTCATTTTTTAAGCAAAATTGGATACAAATTCTCTTTGATCCATTTCTTTTAACGAACGAAAATCGCCGAACTCATAAATACGTCTAACCTTAGCGGCTGCCACAGACAAAGTAAACAATGAAAACAGCTAAAGTTTTTATCAAACTTCGGGGGCATGTATACCAACATAATAAATAAAATTTTATGACAACCGGACCCTCCGAAGCCGGGAAATTTAACAATTCTCGTTATTTTCTGAACACACTTCGTAAAGGGTGGGCCATGTTTATGTTGAATTATAAAATAGCAATGAGAACAAGAAAAACTGATTTTTTTTCAACGAATTTTGCTTTATTTGATACAATGTTTCTTCCGATTAAGTATGAAAATGATTTTATTTAAGTGGCCACCTCAGCTGGCTCGGCAGTAGCCCATCCTGGAACACCAATTTTCGAGTACTTTGTCAAAAGTTTGCTGCTCTATTTAGGCAATTTGAGCTTGAATGTTTTGTTTTAAATGGCGAATAGGCTTTATTACGGCGACGTGTGGATTTTCCGTGGCCCAAATCCTACAATTTTGCTTGTTGACATAACCTCCGAGGTAAAAATGTGCCTTATCCGAAAAGATTATTTTTATTGCAAAATTAGGGTCATCGTTCAACTGGTTTAAAGCCCACTCAGCAAAGCCAAAACGTTGTGGATGGTCAACTTGCTTTAACTCCTGAACAAGCTGGACTTTGTACGCAAACATACTAAGGTCTTTGTGCAAAATCATCCTCAGAGTGGTAAGGGAAAGGCCGAGTTGTTGACATCTGCGCCGAGTTGATGTTGACGCGTTCATGCGTACATTTTCGGCCACAGCAGCGATTGCTTCAGGTGTACGTCTAGGACGAGCATGCGAAACATGTTTTATGTCCACCAGCATTCCATTTCTGCGCAATTTTTTGATCAAATTTGTAATACTTTGGTTTGACGGCGCCTCATTTCTTCCAAACGCAATTTTCTTGCCGTCTCTGCGATCACAGTCACATTCAAAGTAAGTTTTGAGTATTTCGAAACGTTGATACAAATTTATTCGGTGCATATTTTGTAATCGGAAGGTTAAAACTAAACCACTGTCAGCAATTCATGGCGCTTAAGTTGAAAGCTTCATTAATAGCACGTAGTTTAAAATTCAACTTATAGATGGCCCACCCTTTATAAGGGTTTTTAATTGACAAAATCGACTTTTTTTAGCGTGAATGTATATCATTGCACATCGGCCAAGCCGGTGTGCAAATCGGGAATGCTTGCTGGGAGCTGTTTTGTCTAGAGCACGGTATCAAACCCGATGGTTTTTCCTGCCTCACCAACAACTCCAACTGTTATGACGATGGAAACGACACTTTTTTCATGGAAACGGAGTCGAAAAAGTTCATTCCTCGAGCCCTTTTCATCGACCTGGAGCCCACAGTTATAGACGAAGTCAGAGTCGGCACCTACAGTAGGTAAGTAATAACGATATACGGTCGAATTTTCGTTGAATGTACATTTTGTATACATATTTTGTCCAGGCAGGTCAATTTGATCGATTTTTTTTTCTTTGTGTTAGAACAGTGTAATATACTGCAAAAAAATTCTATAAGTTTATAAATAACAAAAATAAACTTTATAGAAATAAAACTTATAGAGTTAATCTGAAATAGGGAAGGAAGACAAGAAAGAAATGAAACATTGTCCTCCTCCTAACGCATCTTCCTGAACGTTTTATGACACATTGCTTTTGACTTTTTCAAACGTTATTTTTCAGAAATACTGTTAAATGTAAATATCTTTCGGCATTTGTTTGGAATTTCTACTATGCTTTAATACAAAATGAATATAAAAAAGTTAACTTCTAAAACAAGAGTTGTATGTAGCGTTTTGTAAAAGACACCAAAAGTGTACCCAAAAAAATCTTACCTTAAATTATTTACAAAAAAATTCACACACTTTACACGTGCTCACTTGTTGTTGCCGAACTATCAAACATGTATGCCCTCTAGAAATAACACGATAGTATCTCTATCTCGTGTCTCTATTTCGAAGCAGTCGGCACAGAAGACGACGTTAGGAAAAAGACAAGATTTTTGAATGTCAACTTTAATATTTTTTTCTGTTTAAACTACTTTGTAGGAAACTATTTTATTTTTATATACAAATAAAAGAACTTTCCATTGTTCAAAAATAATTTATTTTTTCAGAAGAAAGCTGCAAAGAAGAAGAATATAATAATTTAAATTAAAAAATCGCCTCTGGGGGCAGTTAGGTTACAGGACATTTCAACTAGTTTTTCTGCCATATATAGAAACACAAAGTAATTAAAAAACAAAATACGATGGGTCCTAACAGGAAGGGGGTATTTAAATATAATAAATACAAAACTTATCAACAAACGTCAAAAATAAAAATTAAATTAGCTGGGGACAGCAAATGTACATTTAACGAACATTTGCCCAGTGACAAATTTGAATTTTATTTCCCAAAAAATTTTGCTTTTTAATCCGCACATTTTGATGTAAAATTTTCATCTGCCGTTTTTTTAAATTGTACTTTCTATTTTTTCCAAAAAAATATTTTTTATCTTAATGGATACATTAACCATTTTAATGTTCGAATTGCTTCCCGTTGGTTTCTTGACATTAAGCAAGCCTATCCGAAAATTCTCTGAGAACGTTTTGGATGACTTCCGGATGGATGGTACTTTACTTTCTTCACAAGAAGTAATAATGTCTGACTTGACTTTCAGCTGCGACTAGGCTAGAAGAACTGTGATGATCTTCTTCCACGCGTAACAAAATGTCAATTTTAGTGTCTTCACTTATACCCTGATAGCAAAATTTGATTCTAAGAATCTTCTAAGAAGATATGACCTGGAATAATGGAACCTTCCCTTATTGCTAAGAATATTCTTAGGGACTTTTAAAACATTCAATAGATACCCCTTTAATGATGCAATTAGATTCTTAGAAGCTTCTTAAAACCTTCCTAAAAAGCATTCTAAGAACATTTTAAGAATACGTTTTTGGAATATTCTTAGAAGGTTTCTTATGAAGCTTATAGGAAGCTTTTGAGAATATTTTTAAATATGTCAGATACCCACGTTCTAATATGTTGGATTCTACATTCGTAAAATTCTTTAGGAGACGACAAATACGCCTCACTGTCATAATATGACAGTGAAATGTTTTTGTCGTCCCCTTAAAAAATTTTGCGACATATTAATATATATTTATTTAAAAATATTAAATAAACAATTTGACCTCTAAATCATAAGTTGTATGACATTATTTCTTAAAAAGTAAAATTGGAAAATTTTGTGGGATAAGTCAGATTAGATTGAAGTTGAAGATAGTTAGGATTATTATACATAAAAATGTTAATTCAGAAATATTAAATCGGTATACAAATTAATAAATATTTATTTTTAACATAAAATAAAATATAAAAAAACAAAATATTTCCTTATAAAATAATTCTTCATAAAAGAAAAAACCAAATAGTTCTTCATAAAAAAACATTTTTCATTGTATTTAAGTTGGATAGAAGATTTTATGTAAAAGCCGGATAATTTAGATACCTATAGTAAAAGTATTTTTGTTATCGAATATTGTTTTAATTTGACAAATAACTATAAAAAAATATTTTGCGTTGTGTTTTTTACTTAGTATTTAAGCATGATCTTAAGAATATTCCCACTGGAAGATTTAAAAAACATTTTTAGAATAAACTGTGCTATCAGGGTACCCGGACTGCCAGGTTTTGGAATATCTTTGACATGTCCAGTCTCTCTAAATTTCCGTTCAATCTTACTAACCGTAGCACGAGTAATAGGTCAAGCGGGATACTTTGCATTAAATAAATTGCAAACTTCTTGTTGTGTTCTAGTTTTATTGCCACATCCCATGAGGATTAAAACTTCAATTTTCTATGTTTCCTTTAAAAGGTCCATATTTAAATACCTACTTCGAAATATTTAGAGAACGCTTAAGACAGATACTTTACTGAACGCTCAACTAAAAGGTTTTACATCCAGGAGTGAATATTTGTTTTAAATTATATGCTCACAAAGAGATATCAAATAAAAACTTCTATATATCGACACTTGCTATTTGTAGAATAACAAAAAACAATAATAAACAGAAAAAGTTTAAGAAAGTTTATGAACATTTCTTCTACTTATAAACACTTTTTAATTTTATTAAAACCCCATTAAAAGTATTTTAATAAAAACTATAAAACATCAAAACATTAAAAATTATAAATTTTCCACTTTTTATAATTAATATCTCTGATTGGTGAAGTTTGTTCTGGATTATTAAAACGAATTAAGCATTATTAAGTTAATTTACTTTTAAAAATGATTCAGTGATTACGTTACATTTTAAGTATCTGAATCATTTTTAAAAGTAAATTAACTTAATATTGCGTAATTACTAATCACTTTTAACAGTAAATTATTAATTAAAGGTATAAAATCATTATTTCTTTTGCATTTAACCAAAAGTGTTTTCTTATAAAAAAAAACGTTTAAACATAAAAAATTCTCTTTAAAAACTAAAATAAAATATTTCTCTTGAAAACAAATAAATCAATACAAAACTAAAAATCAAACTTCTTAAAATAAATGTAAATAAATAAATTAAATAATAAAAATAATAAATTATTATTTAAACACACGCTTTGAATAATTTATTCAAAGTGTATTTTCAAACGTTCCCACCAAATTGCCTCAAACAAAAGCCCAGTCTGTCATAAAATTTGGTGCGAACATTAGCTAGCATATCTGGAGTAATTGTCTCAAACGCTGTATGCATTCTTGCCTCTAATTCGCCCAAATTATTCATTTTTTCATGACGGTACAAGGTAGATTTTACATATCCCCATAGGAAAAAATCGTTAGGAGCCAAGTCTAGCGACCTTGCTGGCCAGCGAATTGCGCCCCTGGTAGAAATTATCCTTTGGGGAAAAATCTCTTGTAAATACTCACATTTCTTGTGTAATGGGCAACCGTCCTGTTGATACCAAACTTTATCCAAATTTGGGGTTATGTTTTGGATTACAAGAATAATTCTATTTTGAAGAAGACCCAAATATCTCGCTCCATTTAAATTGCCACCAATTACAAAGGGACCAATAATAATATTCCCATAAATACCAGACCACAAGTTCAATTTTCAGGATACTGAGTCTTTAAGTTTAGTTGCCTGTACTTATTTTTAATAGACCAGTACCGGACAATAGCAGGATTGTGCTTTCCATGTAATGTAAATGTGGATTCGTCGGTACAAACTATGAAATGTTTATCTTCATTTGCAAGTTGCATGATATTTTCACAAAATTCCATTATTCGGTACTCGTCGTCTTTAAAAATTTCCTGATTTACTTGGTATTTAAAGGAACGATATTTATTTTTTTAAATATTTTGTGGTTTTTACTCACACTAATGCAGGGTCTCCTCGGCTATTTTAGGAATTGATGTATTTGAATCTTTTACCATTGCACAAACCATTATTTCTTTCATCTCCGCATTTACATCAATTCTGGGAGTACTGTGACATTTACACCCCAAAATACAACCATTGGTTTTAAACCTTTGGATAACGTTTGTTCCGGAATAGAACGTTTCAGATATATAACTGCGAATAGGTCTCATTTTCTCTTGCAATGTGTAGCTTATAATTTTAAATAAAAGAAATTAATTTATGTTAAAACGTTAAAAATACACACTAGCAAACGCAAAATAAAACCGAATCCTCGCCTACGCCGGCAATCTGCTTACAATGCATCTGGGGAGGGGCGATCGGATTCACTCGGGTTCACTCGAGTGTTCAGGTTTCAAATGAAAATGCGGTATACTTTTGCCGGTCACTGTATATGGGTTGTTTTTTATTTTAAAAATTTTTCCAGGTTATTTCATCCAGAACAGCTAATATCGGATAAAGAAGACGCTGCTAACAACTACGCTAGAGGGCATTACACCGTCGGAAAGGAGAATTTAAACTTGGTTCTGGACAGGATAGACGCCCTTGTGGACCATTGCGACGGTCTGCAAGGCTTCCTTATTGTTCATTCTTTCGGAGGAGGGACTGGGTCTGGTTTCACATCACTTTTAATGGAGTCGTTATCCAATGACTACCCTAAGCTTACTAAAATGGAAATTGCGATATACCCAGCACCGCAAATATCCACGGCGGTTGTGGAACCCTATAATTCCGTTCTTACCACACACACTACTTTGGAGCATTCAGATGTAGTTTTCACAATGGACAACGAGGCGATTTACGATATTTGCGTTAAGCATTTAGGCATCGAGAGGCCGACTTACACGAACTTAAACAGGCTTATAGCACAAGTACATTTATACAACATTATGTTTCGAGTCAAGCCACGTCAAGTGGGACCAGAAAATTTCACGAAACCACCGATTTTGAAAATAATCACATTATTGTGTAGTAGGCATGACGCATATGTCACAGTAAAAAATTTGTTTTGAAATTCGGTTTTTTGTTAATGTTATTAAAGTTAATAATTTTGTAAAACTTAAGAGCACGGTAAAATTGAAAAAATAGAATCTCTGGGACCACTCTGTATAATTGAATTAAATTTTAAACACTATTTTAGCAATTTTTAGACTATAGAATGATCATTTAATTAAGGAAAATTTGTTTAAATAAAAGAGTTTTGCATACATTTTTAATAAACAATTAAAACTTTTTATGTGTTCTTCACGCTGAAAAAAAATTAATCTTGTGTCATAATATGCGGCAAACGTTTCTGTTTTATAAGATGTACTCAAAAATTTGTCCTTCATATGTCGTTCCGGAGATATTAAATTTTTGGTCCCGCCGCGGCGGGCGCTTGATCAGTACGCAGCGCGCTTTGCTGCTAGATCGTCCGGAACGCTGTGCTCACGGTGTGCCTGAAAAAAGTTTAAGTCACATAAAAATGCCGCCAAAAACTGATTGCAGTTTCTTGTTCGGGACCCTTTGGTGACTTAAAAATGATATTTACCAAAATCCTAGCTGCTCCTATTTTCGAAATTTTTTGAAAATTCATGATTTTTGTTTAAATTTTTGTTTATCTCAAAGTCTACCTTTGACAAAGTACACATTTGTACACCGATTTTTATAAAATTGGAGTATATTATTGAGGAAACTTAGAGAATACTTTTTAATACTGTTCACATCATTTGATATATACAGGGTTAGCCAAAAATCACTTATTTTTAATAAAGCAAAAGCGTAAATTCATGGTTTTGGCATAACACGCAAAAAAGATTTATCCCCAATTTTTTTTAGATATTTCTACGTTTATCAGGTTATAAAATGGCATTTTATTAACCTTTTACAAGAAAAATAGATTTTTAATAAAATTAAATAAAATAACGTTTAGAGAATATTTAAAATGTTGTTTAATTTAGGCTTTTTAGTAGTTTTCAATTTTGAACGAAAAACTGGTTGAAGTTTTTTGATCGGCACTCTTTAATGATTTAAAAACTATATTTACCAAAATTCTAACTCCTTCTTTTTTACACATTTGGACGGCTTTCTGCAGAATGGGACCAACCCACACCATGATGAAACTGAGAAAAAAGCTATCAAAGATTTTAATAATTTTAAAATTACCTGTTAATTTTATGCCGATTTTGGACTTACGGAGGTTTAAGGGATATAATTTAATAATTTCATCAGGTGGATTTTGTGATGTTATGTGTAAGGGTGACGAAAAAAATAGGCTTTTGTTGGTTGATTCCTTTCTGCAATTTATGAAAACTACTATCTGATGTATGTATGTATTTAAAGAAAAGCGACAATTATTTATTTCCAAACAACATACAACTGATATTACTATTATAATGGTAATATGAATTAATTTTGATTCTATTTGAAATTCGTCCACATCATCTTCCAACCCCACCTCATCTTGTAAGCTACCAAAAAAATGCATCAAGACCTTATATTTTGCAGAAGCAGGAAATCTTTAAAGACTTTGGTAGTGGGTCTACCAGCCTGCTTTTTTACAAAAAAGATCCAATCCACTTGCAGATATTCTACAGATTCTAATTCTGGATTAGTAATCCACACTATTATTGAATGTTGGTTGGTTCAATGATTAATAGATTTCACTACACTTGCATTTTGGCTATGACCTATTTTGCAGATAAATTATACATACTTAATTAGTTCATAGGCTAAATATCTCGATTTTTTTGGTTTTGTGGGTTGGTTCCTTTCTGCAGAAAGGCGTCCATTTGTACACCGATTTTTATTGGAGTATATTGTTAACGAGATTTAGAGAATACTGTTTTTATACTGAGCACATTATTAGGGTTAGCCAAAAATCACGTTTTTATATAGTAAAAAGCATAATCCACAAAAAAGATTTACCTTCAAAAATTTCAAAAAAAATCATGAATTTCGAAAAGAGTAGCAGCTAGGATTTTGGTAAATATCATTTTTAAGTCACCAAAGGGTCCCGAACAAGAAACTGCAGTCAGTTTTTGGCGGCATTTTTATGTGACTTAAACTTTTTTCAGGCACACCGTGAGCACAGCGTTCCGGACGATCTAGCAGCAAAGCGCGCTGCGTACTGATCAAGCGCCCGCCGCGGCGGGACCAAAAATTTAATATCTCCGGAACGACATATGAAGGACAAATTTTTGAGTACATCTTATAAAACAGAAACGTTTGCCGCATATTATGACACAAGATTAATTTTTTTTCAGCGTGAAGAACACATAAAAAATTTTAATTGTTTATTAACTTTTTATGACCTCGTTCTGGCACACCGCATGCTGACGAGCTAGCAGCGAAGCGCGCTGCGTACTGATCAAGCGCACAGCGGGACAAAAAATTTAATATCTCTGGAATGACATATGAAGGACAAATTTTTGAGTACATTTTATTAAACGGGAACGTTTGCGGCATATTATGACACAAGTTTAATTTTTTTTCAGCGTGAAGAACACATACAAAATTTCAATTGTTTATAATAAATTTGTGCAAAATTATTTATTTAAACAAATTTACTATAATTAAATGATCATTCTATAGTCCAAACATTGCTACAATAGTGTGTAAAATTTAATTCAATTATACAGAGTGGTCCCAGAGATTCTATTTTTTCATTTTTACCGTGCTCTAAAGTTTGACAAAATTGTTAACCTTAATAACATTACCAAAAAAACGAATTTTAAAATATTTTTTTTACTGTGACATATGAGTCATGCCTACTACACAATAATGTGATTATTTTCAAAATCGGTGATTTCGTGAAATTTTCTGGTCCCACTTGACGTGGCTTGACTCTTTCTTAAACCTTTCACATCTTTTTTAGGTGGTTTCATCTTTGACAGCTTCACTTAGGTTCGAGGGATGCCTGAATGTGGATTTGCACGAATTCCAAACGAATTTGGTACCGTTTCCTCGAATTCATTACCCATTGCTGTCATTTGCGCCTTTTGTGAGCTGCGAAAAAGCTTTTCATTCGAATTTAACCGTAACCGACATTACGCATAGTTGTTTGGATTCGTCAACTCAAATGGTGATGATTTTCATGCACTGTTTAAAATTTCATGACCATTTTAACCCCAAATTAACACCATACATGGTCTATATCGATACAAACCAAAATGGTGTTAAATATGGTTCGTTGGTCCAGTGTAAATTCAAATACTAAAATGGTGTAAATTAAACTTTCACACAGTATTAAAACAAATTTTACCTGGTGTAAATTGAACTCCTTTTCAGTGTTAAATATTATGTGTTTTTGGTCAAATTAAATCATACTACACAGAAAAAAAGGACAAAAATTAAACAGAAAGTTCCTTGACGCATTACTAGTGGTATTGTTCCAGAAAATTGAACCTTCAACTCGCTAGAGATAATGTTTTTAGTACGCTCCACCAACTTAAAATACTTCAAGTATTGACCGCTTTTTCCACCTATTTAAGGTCTCTTTAGTATCGAACAACTTGTAGTGTCACACCAAAGCACTACCTGAGCTTATATACTCTTCATGTAAGTCAACAGAGGCGAGATTTAAGAACATTACGTCTTTGCCGCGATCGGTACACACTATGCAACCAGGAATGCACGGCAAATTGTTTTAATCGTTTTAACAGAGTGCTTTAGGTTGAAGTAACTCTTATTTTACAAACAACATATTTAGTAAACTGAACCATACTGCGGGTTGGTTTCACTAAAGTTTTCTGGGTTAATTTAACCAATTTAAAAAAAAATAACTATCTGGTTTAGTACCGTCAAACTAATCTTTGTTTATATTAACCTTTCCACAGTTGATTTAAATAAATACTTATAGGTCAACTAAATTAATATCGTTAAATGAACTTTTCCTTTTTTTCTGTGTAGGTGCACTTCTCAAATATTTTTAGATAAACACCGTTTTGGTGTTTGCTTTATATAACATTTTCAACCATAATTCATGGTGTTTATATTAACACCACTTGGTGTTGGATTTTAACACCATTTTACACGACAGATATTTTAAACAGTGTGAAGTAGCTTTTTTAAATGTTGCAGGTAAAATGTAGACGAAACAATGGCTTATACATGGCATGCTGTCTACTCTACCGAGGTGATGTCTCTGCAAAGGATGTCAATGTTGTCCTTTCAAACATAAGAAGAGACAACTCGATAAAGTTTGTCGATTGGTGTCCCACAGGGTTCAAAGTTGGCATCAACTACCAACCTCCCACAACGGTAAATCGATATGGTGTTTCCTTGGCGAAAATAAAGCGTGCATGAAAAGTGTGCAATAAGTGTGTATTTGGAGTGCAAGTCTTTATAACAATGTGCATACACGCTACTTTGTGGTAATTTCACACTTTTTGAAATAATTAAGTTTTTTCACTCTTTATATAGGTACATTGACATCACCCTTTTTATTTGTCATACGTCACGCATATATTACATTATATTTTAGCACATTGCACAGTGTTAGCATTGTTTAAAGACATTTTGCAAAGCTTCAGTCTATCTTACTCATGTCACATTTTATACACACTGTTAGCATGCTTTAATATTTCTCATTTATGACGCTTATATTACACCTTTTTATAGCACAGTGTTTGTACAGTTTTAGCGATCACTCAACAGTTTAAGCACATTTTAGATATATCTCGCTTGAGTTGGGGTACAACATTTATTTAAAAGGTGAGGTAGATTTCATCTTATGTATCGCTTCTCGGCCTATTGCTAAAATCAAAGCAATCCCCTTCGTGGAGTTGACAGTGCAGGTATTTTTCTTAATAAAATACAGTATGTGGGTATTTTTTTTTTTTTAATATTTGATTAATAAAATTATAAGGATATTTATATTTCAATTATGTGTAAATTTAAAAGACTTTATAGGTCACCAAAAAGAATCTGTTTTTGTAATGGGCACACAGGTGGCAAGAAACAGTGTGCAAACAATGTGAAAAATCAAAAGGAGTTCCCTTTAGAACATTGTCCAGTGATTATTCACACTTTTAAATTTTTGGTTTTGCACATTGTTTCATGTTCCATTTCCCACCCTCCGCACATCATTTTTTTAAAAGATTGCACATTGTTGGCACATTGTTCTCAAATAATTTTGCACACTTATTTCACATTTCATTTTCGCCAGGGTTCTGCTGTACACAGTGTCCCTGTTCGGGACCCTTTGGTGAATTAAAAATGATATTTACCAAAATCCTAGCTGATCATTTTTTCGAAATTTTTTCAAAATTTATGATTTTTTTTTTAAATTTTTGTTTATTTCAAAGTTTACCTTTCACACAGTACACATTTGTACACCGATTTTTATAAAATTAGAGTATATTAATAATATTATTGAGGAGACTTAAAGAATACTTTTTAATATTGTTCACATCATTTGATATATACAGGGTGGACCAAAAATCGCTTAATTTTAATAAAGCAAATGCGTAAATTCATGATTTTGGCATAACAAGCAAAACAGATGTATCCCCATTTTTTTTAGATATTTCTATGTTTATTAGGTTACAAAATGGCATTCTTATTAATTAACCTTTTATTAAAAAAATAGATTTTTAATAAAATTAAATAAAATAACGCTTAGAGAATATTTAAAATGTTGTTTAATTTAGGCTTTTTAGAAGTTTTCAATTTTGAACGAAAAACTGGTTAAAGTTTTTTGATCGGCACTCTTTGGAGATTTAAAAACGGTATTTACCAAAATTCTAACTGCTTTTCTTTAAATTTGTTAAAAAATCATTTTTTTTTAAATTATTTGTTTATCGCAAAGTCTACCTTTGCCAGAGTACAGATTTGTACACCGATTTTTATTGATTGAAGTTTCTTGTTCGGGACCCTTTGGTAACTTTAAAATGATATTTAACAAAATCCTAGCTGCTCCTCTTTTCGAATTTTTTTGAAAATTCTTAATTTTTTTTTTAATTTTTGTTTATCTTACCTTTGACAGAGTACACATTTGTACACCAATTTTTATAATGTTGGATTATATTGTTTACGAGACTTGGAGAATACTGTTTATACTGTTCACATCATTTAATATATACAGGGTTAGCCAAAAATCACGTTTTTATATAGTAAAAAGCATAATGCACAAAACAGATTTATCTCCAAAAAAATTTATTTTATTCAAAATCAATTTTTCTTATAAAGTCTTGATAAGAATCCCATTTTGTAGCCTGATAAACATAAAAATATCTAAAAAAACATGGGTGGGTATATATCTTTTTTGCTTGTTATGCCAAAATCATGAATTTACGCTTTTGCTTTATTAAAAGAAGCAATTTTTGGCTAACCCTGTATATATTAAATGATGTGCACAGTATAAACAGTATTCTCCAAATCTCCTTAACAATATACTCCAATATTATTAAAGTCGGTGTACAAATGTGTACTCTGTCAAAGGTAGACAAAAATTTAAAAAAAAAATCATGAATTTTCAAAAAATTTCGAAAAGAGGATCAGCTAGGATTTTGGTAAATATCATTTTTAAGTCACCAAAGGGTCCCGAACAAGAGACTGCAATCAGTTTTTGGCGTCATTTTTATGTGACCTAAACTTCGTAACAAGAAAATGTTCGATAACCAAAGACTTTTAGGTCCCCGGTGGCGACCTGGCAAAGCTTCAACGCGCCGTGTGTCTTATTTCCAACACCACGGCTATTTCAGAGGCTTGGACGAGGCTAAACGCCAAATTCGATCACATGTACTCTAAGAGAGCGTTCGTTCATTGGTACGTTTTGGAGGGCATGGAGGAGGGGGAGTTTGGAGAGGCTAGAGATGATCTGGCGATGCTGGAAAGGGACTACCAAGAGGTTGCGGGAAATGGTAATTTTAACGAGGACGAAACGAATTATGAGTGAATGTATGAGCAATACAAAAAAATGCTTCTTTTCGTGATCAATTTTGTAATATATTTTAGAACGAAAAAGTACCTACTTTTATTTCTTAGTTATTAGCAACTTTCAGTCGGTGTTGCAAAAATCCTAATGTAAAAAAGAATCCATTCGTCATTTTTTTTTAATGAAAATGTAATTCTAATCCATTTACCATTAAAAAAATCAATTCTCATTAAACAATTCAATGAGTAGTGTAGCAATACATTACTCATTACAAAGTTTGCAATGAGAAATGGACCATCTTACTTTACTCATTAAAAAAAAATGTGTAATGGGTAATGACCCATTAAATTTTTTTTTCGTCAGCATAAAAAAAATCAAATTTTGGACAAACTTTTTTGTCGATATGAAAAAAAAATCAAATTTAGACAATTATTCAAAATTCAAAAAAAAATTCTAAATTTCCAAAATAATTAAAATTTTCAAAAAAATCCAACAAAAAAAATTTAAATTTTCAAAAAAATAAATTCAAATTGGAAAAAAAATCAAATTTTCATAAATATTCAAATTATGAAAAAAATTCAAAAAAGTTATGTCAAATTATTTTAAATAAATCTCTAAAAAAAATGTGCATTTTTTTAAATTTTAAACGGAGTTTATTTTAATCCTGGTTAGAGTGAATCAATTAAAAATAATCCTCTCCGCATTTACTCTACAAATTTTTTTACAGTGTACTGCGACTTTTCGATTGTTATTCAAATAATAACACTGTAGGGAGGTGAACGTAAACTTAATTTTTGGTCGTAGATTACAAATCCGTGCTTGGTTTAGCTGTATCCGCCCTTTTGGCACAAAACCCTATCTAACTGCTGTAGTACGCCCTTTTGGCATTTAAAACGCGATATCTTTGGAAGAAATATTTCCATAACTACAACCTATAGTGCGAAAAATAAAAAACAAATGTTATCAACAACAAAATAATATATTCTGTAACAAGTTTGGAATACAGCATATTCCGCTCGAGTGAAGAGTTTGTCACACGAGCCGAAGGCGAGTTTGACGGTTTCAGGAGAGCAGAATATGCAATTCCAAACGTGTTTCAGACTATACTTTTTCTACGTTTCCAAAAAATACCATAGAAAAAAAATTTCATTGGAAGAAAGTGAGGTTGGATCGGTCTAAAATTTGATAGATATTAAAAGCGGAGATGTCGCCACGAGTGTTTTTTCTGTCATCAGATGATAGAATATTTCATTCTGTAACACTTTACGGAATATATGTCATTCCATAGATAAAAGTGATATAAGAAGGGTCAAATTCCGTAATAGGAGTAGAAAAAATAATTTCCGTACGTATTAAAAATGAGCAATGATTTTTCCCCATTAAAACCAAAAGAAAATGAGTAATGAAATAAATCCACATTAGGTACTCATTAAAAATTGAAAATGAGAAATGTACAAGTAATTCTCCATTAAACGAAAAAAAAATGAGTAATGTAAATTAATTTTATTACTCATTATGATAAAAATGAGCAATAAAATAATATTATTTTTTTAAATAATATTTTTAATAATATTTTTTTTAATGCAATGATATCATTGCATTAAAAAAAATGCAACTCTGCTTTCAGTTCTTTGTCTATTTTGCCATTTGTTGAACATCTTAGTTTTTACTGTTATAATGGTTTAGTAAAGCTGTGGGAAATATTCATTTGGGTTAAATGTGTTAAACTAAAAGCATTTGATTGTAATGTTAGTGGAGCTTTATTCTCTCTACTAGAACATGCATGCATAACACATTTTAGGCTTTAAGCAAATAAAAACATATTTTATAACTCAACATTACAATGAAACTGTTTGGTTTTTAATTTATATTTTGTTTTTTAAGATTGATGTTAATTAAAAAATATCAAAAACACGGTCTTATAATCAAAGGTTATTAATCTATGCTTATAATACTTATATACTTTTATGTGACGCCATCTAGTATTTAAGGATTAAAACGAGAACAAAAATATAAAACTATTTCGTTTTGCGTAGCGCCATCTATTTTCAAATACATGCAAAGGTCTTATAGATTAGAATGTTTCTTTTTAAGAATCTACATTGTAACCAATTTTTAATCTGTGACATTGTGTGTCCTAAAATAAAGCGGGGTTGTTTCTCATTTTATTTCGAAAAAAAATTTAAATAAGAAAAAAACACAATACCTTAAATAATCCAATATTTATTTTTACAACAACATTACAAATGCCAATTAAATAACAAAAAGTATTTTTAACAAGTATAAATATAATCTAACTTCTTACATATGGACCTAAATAAAAATATGAATCACAGTCTTAAATTTTGTAACACCAGGATTCAGCGTTTTTTATTTTATAATCCTGGTTTATTACAAAAAACAGGTAACAATAACTATTTCCTATATTAATTATTCTTAATAATTTGAGGATCAAAAAGCGATGCCTAAAAACCACATTTAAAAGTTATTATAAAAACAATCGTAATATAAAGTGTTTTTAGATACATAAATGACTGTAATATAATATCAAATATTCCAGAGACCAAAATAATGTGATATAACTAAATACACACTTTTTGTATTGTGAGCCCAAGCAACAATTTTGCGACAGTCGCCGGTCTCTTTATATTACTCTTTTATTACTAAGTTACGACTAAAGTGGGGAACAATTATTGAGTTCCAAAAAGGTAACAAATATGTCACTAGCTATAAACCCTGCTACTATTTGGAACGTAGCTGCTACGTTACTAGAACGTTTCGATATCGTTGCTAGAGCGTTATAATTACTTTTATTTATTTGTTTTTACTTCTATATTAACTGTCTTTGTCAAACTTATATTAGATTATACTATCCCTCCTTTTTTACTTGGCTTTTCGATGTCGTCGTTTATTAAATATGTACTGGTAGTTTATAACTTCCAGAATAACAATATAATGTTTAATTAGGCAGGTAAATTTATAAACCCTTTAAATTTTACTGTTGAACTTATGAATTTAGTTTTTGTAAAATAAATGCGCTTCATCAATATTTAAGCATACAGAAATTATTTATTTAATAATGTTTAAAAATAAAAAAATCTTAATATTTATTATTAATTTTTTTATTTAATTATTAATACCGACTATTACCAACAAAATTACTATTTATTAAAAAGTAAACAATCATTTACAAACAATTAAAATAATTTATTATTTACATTACCACGTGGTACTGTACAGTAAAAAATGGCCGATAAGAAGCATTTTCCTTTGAAGTAGTTTTCGCTACTTTAAAGTTTTTTTCACTTTACGGTTGTTTTGGTTAGTACCATAAACGTTCCAAATACTAAAATAATAACTTTTAAGTTATTAACTTTGTAGTTTTTAACTCATGTTCCAGTTTCGAGATTTTAACTTGCAAAGGGACTACAAAGTAAAAATAATTATAATGTAATCTTTAGGTAGCAACCGAAAGTAAGTGCTACAAATTAAATTTACTTGAAGGTTTTTTTTACTTATAACACCTTTTTTAAAGTTGCAAAGTCTTCTTGGGGGCAACCAAGTTTTACTTAAATGTTTATTACTTTATAGTAACCATTTAAGGAAAAATTAAGTTTTTGTTACAAAATATTGCTATTTAAAAGTTAAAATTACTTTTAAGTATAAATTAAAGTAGCTGTTTAGTATACTTAACTAATTTAAAGTTATCACCACTTTGGCAATGATTTTTGGAACCAAAAATGCTGCTTGGGTAATTAGGCATGCCGGTAAATTTATAAACCATTTCAATTTTACTGTTGAACTTAGTTTTTGTAAAATAAATGCGCTTCATCAATATTTAAGTATAAACAAATTATTTATTTAATAATGTTTATAAATAAAAAAATCTTAATAATATTTATTATTAATTTTTTATTTAATTATTAATTAATTAATTTATTACCAACAAAATTACTATTTATTAAAAAGTAAACAACCATTTACAAACATTTTATTTTTTACATTACCCTGTGGTACTGTATACAGTAAAAAATGGCCCATAAAAAGTATTTTCCTATGAAGTAGTTTTCGCTACTTTAAAGTTTTTTTCAACATTACTTTACGTTTGATTTGGTTAGTACCATAAACGTTTACTTGAAAGTTTTTTTTTACACCTTTTTTAAAGTTGCAAAGTCTTCTTGTGGGGCAACCAAGTTTTACTTAAATGTGTATTACTTTATAGTAACCATTTAAGAAAGCAAAATATTGCTATTTAAAAGTTATAATTACTTACTATACTAAATAAAAATTAAAGTAGCTGTTTAGTATACTTAACTAATTTAAAGTTATCACCACTTGTTATGGTTTTTGGAACCAAAAATGCGTCCAATTTATATAATTTTGACACAAGTTTTTATGCGGTTATCCAAATTGTGTATTTGTAAGCGAAAGTGAGTATTTATAGAGTTTAGCTTAAATAACTTAATTGGAACGATTTTATGAATGGTAACATCAGTTTTTGATTAAATGTAACTTTTGAATTTCCTCAAAATTATTTAATAATTATCACCACTCGTCAAAAAAATATAGTGTTTGCCTCTCGTGGAATCGCAATTACTCCCTCAATGAATTCCTTCACTCGCCTATCGGCTCGCTCGGAAACTTTCATCATCGGCTATGATTCCACGCTCGGTATAATAGTATATTCTGTAACAAGTTTGGAATACTGCATATTTCGCTCGAGTGTAAAGTTTGTCACACGAGCCGAAGGCGAGTTTGACGGTTTCACGAGAGGTGAATATGCATTTATTACAAAAGAGGAGTAAAATGATTGTTCTTACCATTTTGAGGTCTCTTTTAAGGCTTGCAAATCTCTGTGTAAGAAACACAACGTTTAAAACGATTATTAATCTGTACAAACCCAAAGCACAAGAATTGTAAACAACAAAAATGGCCGCCATTGATTCATGTGCATTGTTGCAGTGATTTTTAGTATTTCTATTACGAGATCAAACAGACCTTGTTGTGTAGATTGTGTATAGAGCAACATCTATACAATCGCATTATTTTTGTCTTAGGGATATATGGTATTATTTCAACAGGCATT